AATCAAATTGCCCTGCATTTTACAGTATTTAGTGGAAAATGAGTATGTCTTGGAGTTTTTTAAAGATTATTTTTAACACTGAACATTATGGTCCTTGTATTTTAAAGATTTGACCCCTTAGCTTGGTATGCCTTTTTGAGGGCAGTTTAAAGATTTGACCCTTTAGTAATTGTATGCCTTTGGAGGGCAGTTTAAAGATTTGACCCTTAAGCCATTTTATGCCTGTTTCAGGGAAGTTTAAAGATTTGACCCTTGTATGCCCTTTTGGGGGCATGTTTTGCAATATCTTTTCCTTTCATCTTTTGTCTAATGGTGGATATTTACTTTTGATTGAATTTCATCTTTCTGAAGATTTAGACTAGATTTGTTGACAAGTCTTTTCTCCATATTATACTGTCTCCATTGTGCTAATGTGCCATGTACATATATAAAAAATAAACATTTCCTGATGTATTATATTAGGATTAACCAAATTATTTGGAGCAAACATTAGTGGACAGTATTGAATGCTATATCTGGGACACAATGTGAAGAGATTAGTCTGTGTACCTGCACAAATAACAATGTATCCTGGTTGTGTCCTAACAAGTCTTTCTTTTTGATCAGATTTGATAGACACTTCAGATTTAGTATGCATTGGAGAAGAAAGAAGATGGAATTCATAATCACAAGAAGAAAGACCCTGAAACATTTTTTATTTCTAATTTAAAGACTGAGTAAACAGAAACTTTTCTGAAAGAAATATGAAAATCAAAACATAGGAATGTGGAGACCATACTTTTGTTGCAATAATGTTGAGTGAATAATCTCTTCATGATCTGCTGCCATGTTAGTCATCTTTGTGTATGTTAACTTTATTGTAAGACCAATCTAAAGACAGAGCAATTTCAAGCATCATAATTAGCAACTAACTGCAGAATATTACATATATACTGTAGTAATTTCTCTAATGGTAACCAATTGAATCTCATATAATGTTCAAAATATGTTTATAGAAGCAAGTGAACAGACTGCACAACAACACTTTGTCTAAAGAAAAGGTAGAAATACCTTTATCATCTATCTAGGTCATGCAACTAAAAATCTATAGACTAGATTTAAAAAATGAAAGATGGCTGGTTGTTGTTGTTGTTGTTCGGTTTAACACCATTTTTCAGCACAAGATAGACTATACATACGGCCAGTAATAATGGTGGAGTAAGAACCCTGGAAAATGCCAGGAAGAACCACTGACCCACCAGAAGCTACTGGAAGACTTCCTCACTTACCTACTTAGCAGAGTCTGGACTCACACTCAACTCACCCAGACAGAGGTGAGATGGCAGTGACCCATAACTGACAGTGCTTTAGACCACTCGGCCACATAGGGCCTACAAAGATGGTTGGTAAAAAACACTGAAAAATGCAGCTGGTTGGTAATAATACTGAGTAATGCAAATAGATAGTGGTTGGTAATAACACTAATTTCTTATAAATAATGGTTGGTAATAAAACTGAATAATGCAAATGAATAATGGTTGGTAATAACAGTGATTAATACAAATAAATAATGGTTGGTAATAACAGAATAATACAAATAGATAATGGTTGGTAATAACAGTGAGTAATGCAAATAGATAATGGTTGGCAATAACACTGAATAATCCAAAAAGATAATAGTTGGTAATAACACTCATTAATGTAAAAAAATGATTGGTAATAATACTGATTAATGCAAATAGATAATGGTTGGTAATAACTGAATAATGCAAATAAATAATGGTTGGTAATAACAGTGACTAATGGAAATAGATAATGACTGGTAATAACAATGAGTAATGCAAATAGATGATGGTTGTGCTGATCACACATTGTATCACTATATATATATATATATATATATATATATATATATATATATATATATATATATATATATATATATGCTGATAAGTTGAGTCCAGCTGCAAGTTGCACATAGCCAGATTTGCCATTGCAGATCTGTGCAGTGTGTTTGGAGCAGTCAGTACAGCAAATAACATAGACCCTGATATTCCTGTGCAGATTGTGATGTCAGATCAGGGTCTGTGTTGGTTGCAGTTGGGCTTGACTTATAACTGAGTATATATCAGTACTTTAGGACAAAATAATCATCAAGCAAGTTTAATCTGCATCTTTAATTTTCTTTTACATGTAATTCACTGATTTTTGCTACAGGAACATCAGAGGTCCAATGTGTCATTATTTTCAATACAGGTATATTATCTTGATCCTACATAATAACTATACAGTTTTATTTAATACACCATTTTCCTCACAACTGAATTAATAATTAGCTGCTAAACATTTTTATTCTACTTCCTGCTAGAGAAAATTGTCATAATTAGAGAAGATTCAATTTTTTTGTGAATAGTTTAAAATTCTTCAGTCCTGGGGTCTATGTTGCTTTTATATCTCACCTCATGTGACTTTAGCCATGCAATAATTAAGCCTTATCATGCTGCACAGTCACACAAAACACTGAGTCTGTTCTGACAAATTGGCATAATTTGTACTTTGTATAAAGAGATATAATTTGTACCCAATAGTTGCCACCTTAATGTCATGGGAAAATTGTTGGTTTGAGTGAAAACTTTGTTCTTCTTCACACCATCCTAACTTGTATATTTAATTTCATTGCTTTATATTGGTTTTGAATTGTCATTGTTACTGTTTTAGAGACCCCAGGCTTAGTTGTTGCTTTATTTTCTCATCTTTAAAGAGCATAATTAGCAAACCTGGATCATTAATAATAATAATGATAATTAACAAATCATTATCACCATTAATAATAATTATATATATATATATATATATATATATATATATATATATATATATATATATATATATATATATATATATATATATATATATATATATATATATATATATATAAAGATGGTAGGACATATAAATGCATCCATTTTTTTTCATACTGAACTGTGAAAATTGTACAATTAACATTTATAAGGGTGGCAAGCTTAAAAAACCCACTGAATTTGATAAATCATTCAAAATAAATATTAAGTGTATGTGTGTGTGTGTGTGTGTGTGTGTGTGTGTGTGATTTGGAATTTTAACATAGCTTTAACAATTTTTCAGCAAAATCATCTGCAGTTTGGTAGTTTATTGTGATGTCTAGCATTGGGGCATCATGCTGCCGACTTTTCTTATCATGCCCCACCCAGTTATATTATCCTGAAACACAGGCTGACCAGTCCTAACACTAACCTTTTAATGCTGAGCACTAAGCAACAGTTAGCACCATTTTTATAAGTCTTTGGTATGACTCAGCTGATGTTCAAACCCGCAGCCTACCACATCTGAGGCTGACACTCTAACTACTAGGCCACCAGAGTGATAAAGACTGTTGTAGCCATAAGAAATGTAAGAATTTAAAATAAAAAAACAAACTCTAGCTGGGCTTTGAGGTGGGTGGGGAACATGTCTGACAAATAATGTTCTATCATGAAGGGAAAATGCACATAGCAAAGTGTTGATAGGGGAGATCTAGTCTAAAATGGATCAGTATAATTCAGATGTGGGGACGGTTCCAAGTCAAGGCAATTTGCCAGGTTTTTCCATCACAGAATTGACCAAGTAAAACCAAAACTTAACCAAGCTTTTTTGGTTTTCTTTTCTAAAGATTGTTTAGGATCTAGCTAATTAGCTAAATATGTATTAAAAAAACTTGGGTTATTTATTTCTTGACTACAGCTGTAAAGCTCACTGTTTTGCACAAAGCAGTTTGTGGAAATTGGAAAAAAAAAGAACATATCCAAATGAATCTCTAAACTAGTATAAAGGTGATGTGTGATGTAGGAATTTATATGTCCTGCTTGAGTCTGGATGCTGGAAAATTTCATATACATGTATCTGAACATCTTCCATTTGAAAGGAAACAAAATAAATCAGCAAGTTGATTCCTACCAACACTGACCTGTTGATATTCAGTTGATGAAAGCCAAATTCAACTGCTTCACTTTGCCTGCACCAATGAAAGCCAGAAATGTCACAGTAGATCTTTTCATCCCTAATCTCTTGATTTAATTTCATTGCCCAATATATGATCATGACAAAAAACAAATATGGCTGGAAGAAAAAAACCCAGTCTGTTTCTTATTTGGCCAGAATGGCCACACAAAAGAAGGAGTGAAACACTGGCCCTTGTGGTAATGTGCAAATCTTTGCAAAGAGTAAACAAAACAATCTCTCAGACCTCTGAAATGATCTGACATGGCCATCAAACTATTCAAAAATTTTGGAAGTCTAGAAAGTTTGGAAATTGGATTACTCCCTGATATCATACAAGAGAAACATCCATAAGTCCTGTTTTTCCTCTGCTTTCATCAGTATCTCTAATACAGTAATACAGTGAAATGCTTAAGAGGAAAATATTGATGACATAGGTCCTGTACTTAAGCATTATTACCCAATAGCTGTCTACATTCAGGAGTCATCTTTCAAGGAATATAATGGAATTAGTCTAAAATAAATTTTCTAACCTCCAATAATTTTCAATAAAAGTATTGATAACACTGCTAAAGGTAATCTCTTTACTGCCAGATCAACACCAAAACATTTGCACTTTGCCCAGGATATGGTCATCCTCCAACCAGTCCAATCCATCCTTTTCACCTTGACTCATCATAACCATGCTATTCAATAGTTACCAACACTTTTTGTTTTACATTTTTACTTTTGCAGTCACCATGTGCTTTGGGGTTGCAAAGATGTGTGTGTGTGTGATTTAGATTTTTAACATAGCTTTAACAACTTTTGAGTCATATTGTAAGATGTCTGCAGTGCAACAGTTTAAAGTGATGTCTAGCACTGGAGCATCATGCTGCAGACATGTAGCCTGATGTCCCACTTGGTCACATTATCCTTACAGCAAGCCAACTAGTCCTAACACTAACATTTTAAGGTTGAGGTCTAATTAAAGCAGCTGATAGTACCATTTTTAGAAGTATTTGATATAACTTGGCCAGGGTTTGAACCCACAACCTCTTGCATCTGGAGCAGACGCTCTAACCACTAGGCCACCAGAGTGGTCTGTCAGTGAGAGAGGATAAAACAAAAAGGATTTTGCTTCAAAACACAATGCCCTAATGATGTCATGTATCTACCCACACCATGCCACAAGATCTACTCAACCTTAAATATGACCCTCTGAATGTTGGTGATGAATCCAGTGGTTGTTATCACTTTCTGGTATACATATAATGACATAATAATTCAAGACTTCAAGAGACAGTCTAATACCACAGATTGTGAAACATTTTAGTCCCACCAGGAATAAAATTTGACAGCTGCTTATTTTCAAAACATAGGAGATCTGATTTTCAATATATATATATATATAGTTGATTACTAGTTTCGTACTGTTCATCGTCAGTTTATTGCATCTATTTTAATTAATCCCTGACACATGTGATCCCTTGGTGGATCCAGTACGCTTGAGAGGGTTGTTATTCGCCATATGATTTGTATTCTTTATATATATATATATATATATATATATATATATACTTCAGGGTTTTGCTTTGTGGAGAAAAGCTTTGTGAGACTTTGTTTGACAATAAACTAACTTCCTTAAGCATGTAAGATAAATCAAGGACAAATGTCCAGAAAGTAATGAGTAGTGGCTAACACTAATTAAGTAACAGACTGGAATGTCTTACCTTGGTTTTTCTAGGTTCTAATAAGATCTGAAGTTGAATGTGGTGTATAAATCAGCATGCAAATGTTTCGAGATTGGTTACACAATGAGTGCCTCAGACATTGTTTAGGAAGAATTTCGAACTTTCCATTTGGAAAGTCTGTATGTTGAGTCATTTTTTTTATCTCAGATGAACAAAATTAGTTCTTCAATAAACTACAAGCATTTCCTGTCATTTTTAGGCTCAGTTACAAAGCATTGTATGCTCAAAAATCATATTTAATTCCACCTTTTGGCATAAAAATTCATCCTCATTTAAAAGTAGCCAAAATTAGTCCTGTTAGGACTTCAGAATTATGTTCCCAAATTATCAAAACACTCAAATTTTTTAAAATTTTTTTCAATTAAAAAAGTTTTCAACCAATTCTCTTGTATAAATGAAAACAGAACCATGTACAGTGACCCTATGTCTCTGAATACATATGTTCATCAGAGGATGTAGACAAGGTAGCAGCTACCATTGCAACACCCCATAGAACCATCATGAGACAGTGATTGTAGAATGCCTCCATTTCTTTCTTCAGAAATTACAAATACCCAGATCTTGTAACCCCAGAGAAACAGCTCATAACAAATTTCTGATTTCATTTCCAGCTGGTAACTTTGCAAAGTTTTAAATTTGACAACCTTGTAATATCCCAAATCTTCTTGAAACATGATTGTTCATAGTCCAGAAAGAGTATTCTGTGTATGTTGTGACTTTTTAAATTTTAATGTAGCTCTATTAATTTTAATTGTATCGCAATGATGTCTATAATGTGGCAATTTATAGTGATGTTTAGCAATGAGGCATCATGTCACACACATGTAGCATCATGTCCTACCCAGTCACATGATCCAGACACCAGGCCAACCAGTCCTAACACTAAGCTCTAAATGCTGAGTGCCAAGTACGGCAGCTGTTAGTACCATTTTTAGAAGTCTTTGGCATGACTTAGCTGATATTTAATCCCCTGACCTCCCAAATCTGAGATGGATTCTCTTACCACTAAGGCCACTGAAGTTGTGCAAAGTATTCCATATTTTTGGATGCCTGTCATATTCAAAGTGTTATGGGTAAACAAAGAAGCTAAAGCTGCCTTGAAATCATCCATTTTTGAATGGTAGATTCTAACTGGTGTCACTCTAAATATTGTATAAAGTGGTGTGTTTTCTGAATGGAAGATTATAACAGGTGAATCAAATTTTGTATAAAGCGGTGTGTTTCCTAAATGGAAGATTCTAACAGTGACTCCAAATAGTGAATAAAGCGGTGTGTTTTCTGAATGGAAGATTCTAACAGGTGACTCCAAATATTGTATAAAGTATGTTTCCTGAATGGAAGATTCTAACAGGTGACTCCAAATATTGTATAAAGTATGTTTCCTGAATGGAATATTGTAACGTTGACTCCAAATATTGAATATAAAGTGATGTGTTTCCTGAATGAAAGATTCTAACAGTGACTCCAAATATTGCATAAAGTGGTATGTTTTCTGAATGCTTGGGAAATATCTGAATGAAAACTCTACAAACAAGCCTTGGAACATTATACCCAAAAATGGAGAGCAACAGTCCTCATACAAAAATTGTAAACATTTGGCAATATATATTGTGCTGTTCATGAGTAAGACAAAAAAACTAACTTGTGCATACCTGGTACCTCATGAAGTGTGAACCTTGGTCTAAATGCATACCTTTCCCCTGTTCACAGACACTTTCATTGGAACACATTCTTATGAAATGCATTGACATCTAGTACTGAGATAGAATTTATATTTTTTATGTGAGCTCAGTTAAGGCACTTTATGGTAATGTAAACAGAATGTAGTTTGAATAACAATTTTGAATATTTGTGTACATTTTAAGGATTGATATCTTTTGCCATTACAGTATAATATTTTTTGTTGATATTTTGTGGACTGTTAGCCTGTTTGCCTGAATCATTTATTTAAATATAACTGTTTGCTTTCCAACGTTTTATATATTTTTGATCTCAGCAGTTTTAGAATGTCACTTTTAATTAACACCATATGACCTATATACTATCCTGATAGGGATTTGTTGTTGTTGTTGTTGTTATAGGGTTTAATGCCATTTTTCAGAACAAGATAGGCTATACCTGGCAGCCAGTATAAATGGTGAAGGAAAAAAAGGGGAGAACCCTGCAAAAAACCATAGACCCATGAGAAATTAGTGGCAAGCTTTCTCACATACCCACATTGGCCGAACCAAGACTCAAACCCACGCAGACAGAGGTGAGATGGCAGTAAATAACAAAACCACCCAAAAAACATTATATTAAATGATTACACTACCATTTAGTTTGTTATATTTGCTGATTTTGGACACTTTAAAAAAATTCTCACATGAGCATTATTATTTTGTGTATGGGGATAATTTTGTGTATACAATATTTATCATCATTGTGGAAAAGAAAAACAACCTATTTGCATCCTCTGCAGGAATTATTTAATTTTCATGTGGACATTACTAATTCCTGCAGCAAATGCAAATGATGAATTCCTTTTCAAGCAATTATATTGCATACACAATTGATTAACCCCTGCACCAGAGTTACCAGTTGCCCTGTAAATGATACATTTGAATGAGATTATTTTCTGGGCACGAGTTATTTACAAGATAATAATATGCATGCACAAGTTGTTTCTTTATCCCTGCATGCTTGTAATTAAATAGCATACATGAGGTAGAAATTCTTGTATGTGAATTATTAATTTTTAAACCTACGTACCTCTGTTAATTCATAAGGTAAATTAGACTTGACAAGTGGGGCTATTATTATAAAGTTGACTGAAATCAAATTATTTCCTAAATCTCTTGAAATTATTGACCATGTCAGGCATTGTAATGGCAGACAGAAAAGAAATTAACAAGTTTATGTCTTGTTACTACTGTGACATAGGTACCCATCTGGTTTTTCAAAACAAGTCCTCCATTTTTGTTCTCTTAGGTAATGCCATTAATATTCTTGGTTCTTCAGTCTGAATTCTTTCTAATTTAATAATTTCATGGTAATCACATACATCCCATACTTCAATGGTGTATGCATAATGATTATATACCGTATATACTCTCTTACAGGTTGAGTCTAACAACAGACAATATAGACCCTGTTCTACTGTTGCATAATATGCCAGCATATCAGGGTCTATGTCGTTTGTTCTATTGATTACTCCTAACAAACATATAGACCCAGATTTAACATTGCAGTATGTGATGGAAAATCTAGTTCTATACAGTTGGGTTCAACTTATATGTGAGTATCTATGGCACATGTTATTTCAATATTTTACAGCTCAGTGGTGGTCTAGTGGTTAGGGTGTCTGCCTCAAATGTGGGAGGTCCAGGTTTAGAAACCCCAGATGAATAACACCAAGGACTTTAAAAAATGGTACTAACTGATGCCTCCATTGGCACTCAGCATTTAAGAGGTTAGTGTTAGTACTGGTTGTCCTGGTGTCAGGATAATGTGACTTGATGGGACATCATTTTTCATGTCTGTGGCATAGTTCCCCAGTGCTAGACATCATTATAAACTGCCACACTGCAGATATCATAGCAATATGACTGAAAAATTGTTAAAGCTATATTAAAAATCTAAATCACACACACACACACACACACACACACACACACACACACACACACACATTTGAATATTTCTAATATTTTGGTACATTTCATTATGACATTGTCTATGGGTTGGTTCCATTTCTCATCAGAACTAAAGTCATTCCAGTTTAGGCTGTGTTTGCTTAACATAAAAAAAAATTGCAATTCAGACGGTAAATGAAAGCTTGATATATCTCTGGTTTTCTATCCATGAACAAAATTGATCAACATAAACTTTGCCAATAATATTTGCAAACATGTAACAGAATAATGGATAGAATATTTATAAATGATAATATTGGTAAATGCCTACTGGTGGTAGTTTAAATAACTCTTGTCCAGTGAAATTGCTGTTTTAATTTTATGTTTGAAATTTGTTTCATAATATATGTGAGATATCCTCTTCTATTTCAATGTGTTAATCACTATAATGACATTATAAACTAGCACATCTGTGAGAACCTAATGAAGTACATTCTCCATGGATTTATTTTGACAACTGCTACAGATTTTATGGTCCATCAACACAATGCTGACTGCACTTTGGCAGAATACAATATATACATAATTGGTGCCTACATTCCAGTAACATCCTGTTGTAGGGTCAGATTAAATTTCGGTTCATATCACACAACTCCTACGCCTTGGCCTCTGGCTACAATGTGAATTATTCTTTGAAAGGTCCAGTAATACATTTAAAAAATAACTCAAATAATAAA